AGGTTAGGTATCATCATCATCATTATCCTTGTTCTCTCTGGTTCGATCGTGAAGAAGCTGCTAGATCTGGCCATTGCCTTTGTACCTAAAACTTGTTTCTGATTTACATTTGCGATTTTTCTAATCAAAAAGCTCCGTTTGTACCTTGAGATCCGACGATCTCACTTTCTCATCATCCGTCAGCTTTTTTTGTTTCTTGTTTTAAATTTTTAAATCCGGAACCCATTTTCCTACTAGCTCACGTCACGTCACGTGGCCTCAGATTTCTAAATTGAGTGTTGATTTTGTGCTAAGTGATCGTTGCGACTTGAGGTTACCTTAATTAGTCTCGAGAGTGAATTTGTATGGTTTTTCTCTTTTTCTTCTATAAGCTTGCTTCCTTCTATTCTATGGTGTGTGGCTTAGCAGTTACCTTTGCAGTTTCCTTCCTGAGGTGATGGATTCTGTTCGACGCACTTACACCATTATGCGAGGACGTCACTTAGACAAGCGTGTTCCTTCCAAAGAGTTTCTCCCTGCTCTGGACAAAGCTGAAACTGCAGGTTCCTTATTTCTCTCTTTCGCTTCCTTTTCTCTAAGGGCAAGTGTTACAGTAATGCAATTTGTATTCCACTCAGAAATTTGCTTGTCCTTCGTTCAACATTTTTTTACACGAAATATGAGTATGCAGACAGAGCCATACGAATTTCGTCATGTGCCAAGATTCAGATGTTGGTTGTCGATGATTAACCAATAATAAATCTGTATTGCTACATACATGACCGTGAAAGTTATGATTACGTATTGTTAAGCACTGGTTTAAATGTTACAACTCAGAATACACTAGTAGTAAATAACAACAAGAAAGCTTGACTCTATCACGTAGGGTTATTACTTTTAGAATGGTTTCTTAGACGGAATCACGTGTTTGATAAAAATAGGACTTTGATCTTTTCTCGCCTGGACTCATCAACTTTAGATTGCCAAGTTTGGCTTGTACCCTTGGAGCTCTGCTCTGAATAATATAGACAATGTTTGCGCCTTAAATTTTAGATTTACCCATTTTTATTCGCACTTTGGTTTGTACATTTGACATCTGTCCTGAATAAAATGAAGAAATCTTGCGTCTTCGTCTGCATAGACTGACTGTGAACTACTCTGAACTCCAGTGCGTCTGCCGACTGGGACGGGAAAAGACATCGGAAATCCTCCCTGGAAGCGGTCTCTGCCTCACGTGCTCGTTGCATCACTGACTTCGCTTTTATTCGGCTACCATCTTGGGTCTCTCCTCCTCACATTTGTACCTTCCCTTTTCTTTTATTTTTTTCATTTGTGCATAACAGAAAAAGATGGAAATTTACTTCTCATGCTGCTAGGCTGTTATCTTTTTCTTTTGTTGGCTTAGTTGATATACTTAAATTGAGTTTCTTCTCGATGCATGGTTGTTTTTAAAGCATTCGGTGTCATATATCTACATACACTCGGTTTCTTTTAAATGCATGTAATTGAGAAGAATATGAAACTCCATGCCTTTTCGTTTGTTTGGACGCAGGGTTGTTAACGAAACTCTGGAGAGCATATCAATTGACCTTGGCTTTAGTGGGAACACAATCGCTGAAGGTATCATTCAAGAAGATAACATGTTTTTTCTGCTTATCCACTCATAGTGTCTATCCTTCCGACTGATCATTCTAAAAACCTTTTTCTGTTGAATGAAGGTCTTGTGGTTAGTACATGCTTAGGCGGCGCCTTCATTGGATCTCTGTTCAGTGGGTTGGTCGCGGATGGTGTTGGGCGCCGTAGAGCTTTCCAGTTGAGCGCTTTACCAATGATTGTTGGAGCTTCAGTGAGGTGGTTTTTTTGTTCCGGTTAATTTGTGGTTTAGACTGTTGAATATGCATGACTGGTACTTGATTCAGTGTTTCTACTCTCGGATTCTTATTGTATGGTTAATTTTTGGAATGACGTGTATGTGACCACTTGAACATTTCCGATTCAAATGATTGCGTGCTGAGTTGCTGAACTTGTGGTCTAGGCATTACATTTACACTCATAGAGATATCCTGCTTGGATGTCTATAGCCTGACTATTGGATATGGGTAATTGGCTACTCATTTGAACATATTTGGTCTCAAGTCATTGCTATGATCACTTATCCCAAGATGTAGTTACTAGTTGGGTTTAAGTTATTGTGTTGCTCTTCTATCTAAAGTCCGTGTATATAACCATGAGATTTGTGTGCTGACAAGTGTATCGTTTGCAGTGCATCAACTGAGAGTCTTGAGGGCATGCTCCTGGGAAGGTTTTTTGTCGGAATTGGGATGGGCGTAGGTCCTTCTGTAACGGCTCTTTATGTCACTGAGGTACTTGACATACTTTGTAGGCTTTCTTTTCTGCATTTGTTTGTGTAGTGTAGGGTCACTAATGAATTTCTTCCTCACTGACTATTGATGTGAATATAACTTGACGCACAAGTCAGTGGTGAGTCTAGGATATTATTATCTAATTCAATGTGTTAACAAAAAAAAAAAATTTCTACAGATAGGGACTCGTACCAAAAAAAATTTATGTGCACATAACTTGGACCATTAAATATAGAGTTCTTTGACGCACATAAATTTATTTTAATAAGGACTTCATCTTCAAAGCTTTATACGCATGACTGGATTTACCTAAATGTGAAAAAGAAGGTTCTACGGACATAAGTACCACTAACTCGCTTTATCAATACATCTTACTTGAACAGAGATTCGCAATTTCTCTTTGCAGGTGTCACCTGCTTATGTGAGAGGCACATATGGGAGTTCTACCCAAATTGCAACATGTCTTGGACTCTTAGGTTCGTTATTTGCTGGAATCCCGGCAAAAGAAAATTTGGGCTGGTAAGATATTCATAAGAACTTAAGGGAAAGAACTTGTATTATACAAGGCTCAATAGCTAAATGGCGTGTTACAACCAATGCTTTAAACTTAACCCTAAACTAGTTTGTGTGGGAGAAGTTAAGGCCTCATACCAACTATATCTTCGAGTGACTCCCTAGTGCATGGTAGTCCACTCTTTTTTGCCCTCCAAACGCACCTATCTGCAGTGTGAATCTCTAGTGTCTGGTTGATATGCTTCAACTCTATAGGAATCCCCTCATCTTAGGACCAAATCTTTTGCTGCAAATTTTTTCGACTTGAGGACTGGCTTTGCAGATCACTTGCTTAAGCTACTTGGTCCATGGTCATCTTGGCAGTATGACCAGTATACAGGTTTGACGTTTAGATTATCTTAGGTGGCGTATATGTTTTTGGATATCCACAATCCCAGCTGCAATGCTTGCTGTTTTCATAGAATTCTGCGCCGAAAGTCCTCAATGGCTTTTCAAGGTAAGTTCCTCATTTTAACCTGCATAGCACTTGAAGATGTTGATAAACCATATTTTTCCGTTGATTCTCTATCTGTTTAACCTCAGAGAGGAAGGGCAGCTGAAGCTGAAGCCGTGTTTGAGAAACTATTGGGAGGGGCATACGTCAAAGCTGCTATGGCAGAGTTAATGAAGTCGGATAGAGGAGATGACGCTGATTCAGCTAAGTTGTCGGAGTTGCTTTTCGGGCGCAGTTTTAGAGGTATGTGTGATCTTTAATAAACCAGATTTGTGACAAGTTTTGGCATCGGTTTGATGTCAGATATCCCAGAAGTTGTGTCTCATTAAATATTAGATCTAGATTTTCTCCCCTTGAGCGTAAACATTGGATGATATGAAATTGGGGTTAGACTTGATCGTCAAAGAGTTGAATCATCTACGTGGAAGGTATGTTATGTTAGCCGGCTGAACTGGATTCGTAGTCAAAAGGAGTAATTATCATTTGCAAAAGCATATGGATGACATGTGAAAAGCTCTTAATTTCATTCATTTTTACGTTTTAATTTTCTCCGTTTGCAGTGGTTTTCATTGGATCTACCCTTTTTGCTTTANNACAGTTGTCTGGGATAAACGCCGTGTTCTATTTCTCATCAACTGTCTTCAAGAAAGCTGGTGTGCCTTCAGCCTCTGCGAACATATGTGTGGGAGTCTGCAACCTCTTAGGTAAAGTGTGACCTTTTCCTTTACATTCTACTATGGCTTGAAAGGCATCATTGTGTTCACGATAATCTAGATAAGCAAGTAGGCGAAATGCACTTTCCACCATTATTTTCTCAGTAGATGAGGTGGGTGAGTTTTAATTACAAACACGAGATTAGGAACGGTAAACCAAAGTGAATAACCTTCCTCTTAGGACAAAGATAATTATAAACTATAAAGAAAAGAGCCGAAAACTTTCCTTTCAAGATGTTGAAACTGTCAAGTGAAGAAGTGATGATCTGGATTTTAAACGAATTTGAATGAACATCATTCATGCTCATGTACAGGTTCAACTGTAGCGGTTGTTTTGATGGATAAGCTGGGGAGGAAAGTGTTGCTTATTGGGAGTTTTGCGGGCATGGTAATTGTTGTGGAGAGTGTGAAAAGTGCTATTTGAATTAAAAGTTTACACAGCTGTTATACTTAATAACCTTCCATGTATACATCACCTTTAACAGGCAGTATCGCTGGGTCTCCAAGCACTAGCATATACTTCGCTGTCATCACCCTTTGGAACCGTGTTTCTCTCGGTTGGGGGAATGTTGCTGTAAGTTTTCTATAACAACTATGGTAGTGGAAAAGGGGTGTTTCGATAAACTCAGGGTGTGATGATGGAAATGCAAATGCAGGTTTGTGTTGTCGTTTGCAACTGGAGCTGGCCCTGTTCCAAGTCTTCTCCTGTCTGAGATATGCCCCGGTCGTCTTCGGGCAACAGCATTGGCTGTTTGTCTTGCTGTTCACTGGGTATGGCTTCTTTTGTCTTTGTGTGTGGACTTTTTTTTTTTTTGAAGGAGATGGATAAACGTTGGAATAGTAGTAGTAACCTATGGAGCAACAGGTAATAAACTTCTTCGTGGGGCTGCTGTTTCTGAGAATGCTGGAGCAACTAGGTTCGGTGCTTCTAAATGCAATCTTTGGGTTCTTCTGCGTGGTGGCAGTTATCTTTGTGCAGAAGAACGTGATTGAGACCAAAGGAAAGAGCCTCCAAGAGATAGAAATCAGTCTGCTCTCTTCCGTTCAGTGATCAATCAATCTCCTTTTTATCCACTCACATATTATTTTGGCCCTCTCTTTATTTTTGTCCTTGGAAGTGAAATGTACAACTAATATGGAAGTAGGGGCGAGCTAGTTAGTAGGCACCACATGTAAGGAAATGGATATTATTCTAAGTATACACGACGTCTCAATAATAAGAGAAGACCAAAGGGTAACAACAAACAACTCTTTTTTAATAGTACATAAATACATCTATCTAAACTTCATTCTCGCTGCCTTTATCCATCACATGATGTTCCCTTTATTCTATAATCTGTTTGCAAAACAACCCCTATCAGATACTAATCTGCTTTTGGCTGCACGCCTTAGCTTTTTACACTTGAGCAACTCTAAGCTAAGCATCCACAGAACCATTGCATCTGCTGCTTATTCTTTAAGACTTGGTGGCAAGACTCAACAAATTGCTCTTCCCCATTTCCTCATCTCCCTCCATTCATTTGCCACTTGGTACACCTTCCCGTTGTATGGCCACCACGGGCTCATTACATCTAAGACACCGGAACGATGCTGCTGAAGTGCAGCGGGTCCTTATGCAGTAGTAACAGTACCTGCCACGATTCATTCTTTTAAGGGCTATAAGTAACAACTACAGCAAATTCTCTCAATTCTTCACCTATCACCAATAACATCACTTCTGTTTTGTCTCATATGGATTGTACCCCCATGATTCCTCAAATACGCAATCACCCATATTTACTAAGCTTCTCATAGACTTAATTAATATTTACTACATATACGGGGGAGAGAACTAATCACCCTATTCTGATCATCCAATTTTTTTACCATACCTGTGCTGGCAAGGCAGAGCAATAAACGGAATTGCAGGATCTAGTTGGCAAATGGGGCAAGTCACTGTATCCTCTTTAGTGCTTGAGGACTTGTCCTTGGCAAATGGACTAAGAATACTCTTAACAGCTGAAGAGTTGAGCAGCGGAAGAAGTAACAAAAGCATTTCCTGAATATCAACAAACAAATCTAAAGCTGAATGCCAAACGGAACCGGGAAATCATATCCAGTATAACAACAGACAAGACAAATACCCATCAATTTAGCCTATCAGTCTAATAAGAATGTTTTCAAAATAAGATTGAACGTAAAAAAACACACTGTTTCGAATGTAAACATGAAAGTGTTGAGTGCCTATGTCAGATTCCAGATATGGACACAAAAATGTTTTCAGCTTTTAACAGCTCAAGTTCGAGCAGCTTAAGTGTTTCCTCCAAAGACAGAGTAAAGCTAAGCTAACAGATACTCTCAGTCAAGAAAATGTAACAGACCAGTGAGTTTCAATCAGAGTGCCGCCATAAACCATCAGCCAAGGATAATACTCAGAGGTGATAGGTTGCCAAACTTTTAAATTGATTATGGCTTATGCAAGCAACGCACAGAAGAGGACCTACCGAAAATTCATTCCAGACAAGTTGGCGGTTCATGTACTCGAAGCTGACAGATCGGTTCATATGGGGACTCCTATAGACCAGCCTAGCACTTAAAGCTTTTTCAATGAGGTTCCTATACCTGGATCAAGAAACGTAAAGGATGTGAGAATCATCAAGATGTTTCTGTAAGTTATCTTGGTTTCCGTTTCAATGTACCACGCCATACCTTCCCGTATAAAGAAATGACAACAGGTTAAGAAAAGAAGCAGCTTTGTAGATGCCTTCGATTCGTTGTATGACGGTCCAAAGTCGCCTCGTCAATGGTCTCTACGAGAGAAAGGAAAGAAAAATGAATCCTTTTGTGTCCATATCTGAGATAAGGAAGAAGATGTACTACTCTATAACACACACCTGCTCAGAATCACCCCATCTACGGAAAGCAGAGAAGGACTGCAAACGGGAGAAGAGGTACTGACCACCAACGGAGGCAAGGCAGTAGCAAATCTTTTGAGGAGCAGTAAGTCCAGGGCCTTCCAGTCCTGTTCTGACTACAAGAGAGTATAGTACAAGAGTGAGTTTAGAGTGCAAAAAGGAAGGCTACAGTGAAGGGGAAGGTGGAGCTTATAAATAAGTACCTTTCCCGAGTTGTTCTGCTACTCGTTCGTCTCTGTATCTTAGATTCATGAGAGCATTTCCGGGGGTGGGTTTGTCAACCCAAATAGAGAATCTCCAAATGAGAAACTCGAGGAAAGCATCGAGCTCTGGTTCGTATTGAAAGAGCATTCCTGGCTAATGCCAAGGAGAAGGCGGAGTGAGAAATGGTAGAGAGAATGGAAACTTGAGAATC